CCCGCTGCTTGGAGTTGGCGCAGCTCGTACCGCACGACGCTTCTTATGAACTCGGTGAGGGCATGCCTCTCACTGTCAGATGACCGATACTGGAGAGTACGCTCCATTGTGGTTGCCTCATTTATGAACTCTGCCACAGTCGTCGGTATATTGCGCACGAGTCCAGCGAAGAGCTGCTATTTTACCCCACGCATTAAATGCCGCACCTTCTTTTCCTCGGACATTGCAGGGTCAGCACGCTTGAAGAGTCGAAGCATGTCCTCGACAAACATCGAAACTCTCTCGTTGGGTCATTGGTTCCGAGACGAGATAGTCTGCTCCGCTCTCTTTTTCCTTTCAGTGCTGTGTTACGCATCACAAAACTGTCGGCTAAACTCATGCCACGTCGCAAAGGAACCCTCGTGATTCTCGTACCACGTTTTGGCAGAGTCTTCTAACGCAAAGTAAACTCTCCGCAGCTTGCGAGCTTTCTCCCATTCGTTGATTTTGGCAACTCGATCGAAGTGGTCAAGCCAGTCGTCAACATCTTCATAAATGTCTCCATGAAATGAGCGTGCTGTTTGCGGTGCATGAAAAACATGCGGGAGAAAAGAATAGGCGTGGTTGGTTTGACTCGCCTGGTTGTTAGTTGAAGTTGCCATCTCGTCTTGAGAGAGGGGACCGTATTCGGGAGATAGTCCTCGCAGGCGGCGACTGCTTCTTGTCGTGGGAGCTGTAGCTGTCTCCAAGTAGCTCGGTGTGTCGGCTGAAAATCTGCAGCCGAGGCGCATTTACCCAGCACCTCCCCCAGTGCCACGAACGTAGTAACAGACAGCGACAAATCGACGTCTTGCTTGCCCTGAGACCAGGACGCACAAGCCCTCTTCTTTCTTCACTTCCAAGAGATTCCACCTAAAATTGATGGCTCATACCCATTACCTGCGAGAATATATAAGAACAAGGGTGACAGAAATGTTTCAACAAAGAAGTGCTTTATGCACCACAATAGACAAGGACGGATCAAGTGGCGCAATGGCTCCACTTTCACAACGAGAGTGGAAAAGGGCTGAGAAAAGGGTTCTTAGTAGTACATCAACAGGCCCAGATGGCATCCCAATTATGCTGATAAAGACATTAGGTCTGAAGTCTAAGCAGGCTTTGAGAGAGGCAGGAACAAAAAAATAATCGATGGTGAAGTTCCCGATGGATGAAAACTTAGCAGGGTGAGCATGATATATGAAGGAAAGGGGGACAAAGCTGACATAAACAACTACCGTCCTATAACAGTGACATCAGTGGTCTACAGGCTGGCGATGCAGATTTTAAAGGAAAGACTACAGGCATGGATAGAGGATGAGGGGGTGCTGGGAGAACTGCAGAATAGGTTTCGGAAACACAGGAGGTTGGAAGACAATCTGTTCTCACTGACGCAGTGCATCGAAATAGCAGAAAAGGAACACAGGCCCCTGTGGCTAGCGTTTTAGGATATCAAGGAAGCGTACGATAGCGTGGTTCAAGAGGAATTGTGGGGAATACTGGACACACTAGGCGTGGAAAATGTAGTCATTAATGTTTTAAAGGATATCTATAAAGGTAAGAGGTAGTTATAAAGCGGGAAAACAGGTATTCAAGTCTGCAGAGGTAAAACGGGGCTTAGGCAGGGGTGTCCTCTGTCACCCTTATTATTCATAATGTACCTACAAGGATTAGAGGCCAAATTAGATGGAAGTGGACTGGGCATCAACCTCTCTTTATTCAAACAAGTATATTTCATATATCAGCCACTACCAGCATTAATGTACACAGATGATATAGTGCTAATGGCCGACAACAAGGAAGATTTGCAAAGATTGATGGACGTCTGCGGTAATGGGGGAAATAGGTTAGATTTAAAATTCATTAAGGAAAAATCAGAAGTCATGATTTTCACTGATAACGAAGGTAGTGAGCTTAGAATACAGGAGGTCACGCTAGAGATAACAGATAAATACAAATATCTGGGCGTATGTATAAGCAGTGGAACGGAGTACTCAAGGGAACACGAAATATACGTGACGACTAAAGGTAACAGGAATGCAGCAGTGATGAAAAATAGGGCACTGTGGAATTGCAATAAAACTTGTAGCTGGGCGAGTTGGTTCATAATACTGGGTAAACTGGTGTGCGCACAAAAAAACAGACAAACGACAGCAGAGAAGAGACAGGGACAAGCGCAGACTTTCAACTAAATTTAATTCTTCGTCAACCTTCAATTTACAGTCGCACAGAACATAGTCACGTGGTCACGAGGACAGAACCTAATAGTTTACAACAGGCCACGCAAAAAATGACGCTCACTATCAAAAAGCGAAATGGATGTATCACTAACACAGGTATTGCCTCTAGCAGAAATATAAAACGCGCCCTAAGTAGACATAGTCTTTTACAACTTCAAGTGCACTATTACCTATCCCAAAGCACTGCTCTCTTCCACGGTTGTTGTACATTACTCTCGTTTTCTGCAGAATTGCAATAGGTATGATGTTGTGAGAGGAATATGGAAAGGGGTCATGGTTCCTGGGCTGACGTTCAGCAATGCGGTCTTGTGCATGAGATCAGAAGTTCAAACAAGATTAGAAATTAAGCAACGTGGAATAGGTAGGCTTGCTTTAGGAGCTCACGGGAATACACTAAATCACGGAGTACAAGGTGATATGGGATGGACATCATTTGAGGGTGGGAAGCTAGCAGCAAGATAAAGTTTGAGAAGCGATTGAGAGAAATGGGGGAGGAGCATTGGGCTAGAAAGGTTTTCAGCTACTTGTACATGAAGAATGTCGGTACAAAATGTAGGAAGCGAACCAGGAAATTGACTGGTAAATACTTATAAAACAGCAGGTGGCCAAACCAGAAAGAACTATCAGTTAAGAAGGAAGTGAAGGAAACGGAGACTGACATGTGGAGAATTGGTATGATTAAGAAGTCTGCACTAGAGATCTATTGAACTTTAAGCAGGAAATTGCCAAGGAAAGGATCTATGATAATATTCGGGGTAGTTCTCTACTGTTTGAGGCCAGGACGGGAGAATTGCGAACCAAGACATATCGGGCCAAATACAAAGGGGGTAACACAGTATGCAGTGCGTGTGGAGAGGAAGAAGAAACTGCCGAAAGCTTGATCATCATCATCATCATCATCATTATCATTAACCTGACGTCGTCCACTGCAGGACAAAGGTCCTCTCCCATGTTCCGCCAGTTAACCCGGTCCTGTGCTTGCTGCTGCCAATTTATACCCGCAAACTTCTTAATCTCATCTGCCCACCTAACCTTCTGTCTCCCTCTAACCCGCTTCGCTTCTCTGGGAATCCAGTTAGTTACCCTTAATGACCAGCGGTTATCCTGTCTACGCGCTACATGCCCGGCCCATGTCCATTTCCTCTTTTTTATTTCAACTATGATATCCTTAACCCCCGTTTGTCCCCTAATACACTCTGCTCTCTTCTTGTCTCTTAAGGTTACACCTACCATTCTTCTTTCCATTGCTCGCTGTGTCGTCCTGAACTTAAGCTGAACGCTCTTTGTAAGTCTCCAGGTTTCTGCTCCGTAGCTAAGTACCGGCAAGATACAGCTGTTATATACCTTCCTCTTGAGGGATGGTGGCAATCTACCTGTCGTAATTTGAGAGTGCTTGCTGAATGTGCTCCACCCCATTCTTATTCTTCTGGTTACTTCAATCTCGTGGCTAGGCTCTGCGGTTATTACCTGCCCTAAGTAGACATAGTCTTTTACAACTTCAAGTGCACTATTACCTATCCCAAAGCACTGCTCTCTTCCACGGTTGTTGTACATTACTCTCGTTTTCTGCAGATTAATTTTAACACCCATGCACCTTTCTGCTCTCCTTGTCTAACCCCGTGATCATGAGTTGCAATTCGTCCCCTGAGTAATTCGTCCCGCCGATGACTGAGCAATGCAATGTCATCGGCGAAGCGCAGGTTACTAAGGTATTCTTCATTAACTCTTATCCCTAACTGTTCCCATTCTAGGCTTCTGAAAACCTTCTGTAAGCACGCGGTAAATAGCATTGGGGAGATTGTGTCCCCCTGCCTTACACCCTTCTGGATTGGTATTCTGTTGCTTTCTTTATGAAGCACTATGGTAGCAGTTGATCCCCTGTAGATTTCTTCCAGAATGTTTATATATACTTCATCTACGCCCTGATTCCGCAGTGTCTGCATGACGGCTGATATTTCTACTGAATCAAACGCCTTCACGTAATCTATGAAGGCTATGTATAGTGGTTGCTTATACTCTGAGCATTTCTCTAACAGAGTAAAGAAAACATTAGAATTCAATCAGCCAAAGGACCAAGCAGGATTTCGAACAGGCTACTCAACAATAGACCGATCCCACCAGCCGATCAGCGCATGCGCCGGTTTTCCGGAGTTGCCCCGCCGCCATCTTAGTTGTAGTCAATCGGTCAACCAGACTACAGCGACTACGCAGTGGCCGCCGCTTTTTCAGTACTGCGCCGGAGCTTCGCGGACGTCTCTCCGATTTCACCAGCAAGAAAAAGTCGTCATGTGAGTATTTTCAATACCTACATTGTCTGGTAATGGGAGCAGGCGGCGCGAATTTCGGTCATAAGTGCCTGCTACTCCTTCGTTTCGGCGGGACTTAGGACAGCCACCCGTTCATTGCCTGTTGAGTACCGTTTTCATTTGAGTGATGTATGTAAGCGGTTGTTCTGCGCGACTGTTTTTTTCGCATGTGCATCTCGGGGATCGCAACGTTTGTTTGCACAGTGACGTGCTGTTGGGGACAGGGTTTATATGCGGCGCCGAACCTTTCGTGTCTTACGGCACTTACGTGCACGAGTGTCGCGTTCAACATACAGCATTTGGTAGTAATAATATTTGAAATTCTTAATTTGGGTGGCGTTCTGATTTTAGTCCACCGAACGACGCGGTCGCTATATTTTGAAAACTCTTGACATTGTAGCGTCCCATGTTTCGCGCACGTGAATATGTGCGCGAAACATGTGCGGTGTCTTCACTGTCGCTGCTGCTACTAGTGATGGCAGAGCCTGAGACTTCTGGGTCGTGCTGGGGTGCCACAGTTGGACTGTTGGGAAGTTCCGGCTGTCAGGGGAAAATGAAAAAAGAAAGCCATGTGTTTCAGTGATTTTTACAACACACTGTGCAGCTGCAGGTGGGATTTCCAATACTGCATTTTATACCTTCACACGAGTTTAAGTTTACTCGGCATCATTGCTTTTTTTACGCAGTAGCGCAACCCTTAAGTAGCCATTGCCTGCATTAAGCCATAACAAAATATTCAGTGGTGCATATGCAACAACGTAATGCTATTTCTCTGCATTGCTTGCGCTCAAATTACCTGTGTCCTTATGAGTGGTCGCCTCCTTTCCACCTTTTGCGGTCTCGGCGGGAAGATTGTGGGCACTCTGTTCATGTAAGTCTTTTTTCTTCCTTCGAAGTGGGCACCGCATACTCGGTGTCCCGTGGTAGGCGTAAACTTGGAGAACCTGAGCACAAAAAGTTCCAGCATTATTTCATATGACACTGAACATCACCTACTGCGTTTTCAGGTTCCTTTTAAATGTCCAGTCTGCATGCTACCACTGCAAGACAACAGTATCACTTTCTCTTGATTAACGTACAAAAAGTTCCATATCAGTCAAGGGCAAATGACAAATGTAATTTTAATTTTCAGCCTCACTCGACAACGCCACACACAGGTAAATTATACAGCTGTTTGTGCCACTCATCTGCATAGGTGCAGCGAAATCGGCCGCGTGCATGCACCAGATAACTATTTTACGGAAAGGACGAGATTACAGAGGCACCGTTTGCATCGAGGGTGATCCGCGAAAGCTAATCGCCGTTTGGCACAACGAGTTCTGGGTAAGTTGTTGCAAGCGTGCCGTGAAGTACGTTACGTCGTTTCTAAAAAGTAAGGTCTCGATGTACGGTAGAGCTATTAGGAGAGCCTCGTCAATGAGCTTGCCTTCCCCTTATGCCTGCATGCTTGCCACTTGCGTTGTAAAAAAAAAAAAACGCAAGCCGCGTACGCGGTGCTGCACTTGCGCAACATGGAAAACTAAAAGACCTCAGCACTACAACTCGTAATAATAATAATATTAGTACGCAGCGGTAACAAAAAACGCTAGAATAAGGAAGATGCGCTAAAAAATGACCGGCATGCACAACCGCGAACCGCGGCTGAGCTATCCGGTAAGAGTATACGCAGGCAGAGTGAGCAAAGATCATATTCTTTGGTATGCTAAGCTTCATGATTAAACATTCACATAAAAAAACCACTGCAATACGCTTATTCAGTTTCAAAGCGGCACTATACATTTAATAAGATGTCTTACCTGCCGCCCCGTCCAGCCCTGTTGATACGCTGAATCCACGTCTCCCGAAGCTTTTGCTCTTTAGGAAAGACGTAGAAACCCAAGCCTTTATCCCTTGTGCTGTTGTTGTAGCATCCAGGAACACAGCACGTAAATCCTCCCATCGTAAGACGGCTCCACACGACCGAAAAATCTATCCAAAAGGGAACGCTCAGGCACTTCGGCTGGCTGGTGCGTCCGGACGACTACAAGTACCGGCATGCACCGCGGCTGCCGCGGCAGTGGTGGCGTCGCGAAACTGGCCCGTGGGATCGGTCTATTGACCACATTCATACTATCACTCAGGTAATAGAGAAAACTTGATAATGCTCAGTAAAGGGCTTCACCCTATAGTTCATGATGATGGCGCAGTTTTTTTTTTTCAAAGCACTGGGGTTTACGGACAGAGAGGGCAAAATAGATTTTAAGTGGGTAGACTTAACTAGAAACAGGTTATCTGATTGGTGGCTTAAGTCAAGGCACGAGTGAAAATTAAACCATTCACTGCAAAGTACGTATCCTCAACCTCACTATTTAAAAAAAAGATAAAGCTAATGGTTAGTTCACTAAGTATTACGGCTAGGTGGCATTAGCCACCACCCGATCTAAAGGGTAAAGCCACATCCATCCATCCATCCATCCATCCATCCATCCATCCATCCATCCATTCAGCAACAGCGCTGGAACGTAATGTCGCAGCCGGGTTACAGTGTACTAGTACACTGTAGCCGGGTCCCGTTCCGTGTGTGCGTTCTGACCTTTGAGGAGGGTTGTCGGGCTAGTGACTAGAGTAGTGACTGCCGACGGATGAGTGACGATGGCGGTGCGCCCGCCGCGGTCAAATAGTTTATTTTTCTGTGATGCCCGCCTAAACCGCCGTTTGGAAACAAATGCAGTTTCGTAGAATTAAAGTGGTGCGGTACACGTCACGGCGATGGATGCAATGATGGTATGCGACGGCCATATTAGTATAAACTTCTGGACATATTCCGTGTTGCTAAGGATTACTTTCGTCTAAATATTTGTTGACGGAGGAGACACTTGTTTTTTGCACTATGAAGCAAGTGTTTTTGCAAACACTTGTTTTTTCCACTTGTGAAGTCCGTGATTCTTAAACGTGTGCTATATCCTTGATGTTGGCGAAGCAGTGGAGTGTGTTTATTTCCTGGACACCATGTCCGCTTTTCTGGACACCATTTTCTGGACACCATTTTTGCCAAAATGGCTGTGAAACAGAGGTTATAACTTAAGATCGTCATACCAAGTGTCTGCTTAAATGAATATAGTAGTAAAAAAATATAAACAATTGTCTGTCAAGGCACCAATGAGATTCGAACTCACGATCGCCTGTTTACAAGACAGGCGCTTTAACCAACTAAGCCACAGCCCTTACTCTTTGCTGCATGCGGAACCCTCTGTTGAAGCACAGAGAATTTATAGGACGACCTACTTCAGGCGCGTGATGTGGGAACGGCAGACCATCGACGAACATGTGGCTCAAACCGTTTTGCTACCTCATGCAGGTCCTTGTTCATGGTCTGGCCGGATCAACGTTTCTGCAACTACCGAAGACTAAAGCAATGGACCAGGCATATCTGCCTGACTTCGCCACGTGCACTTGGTTTCCAACTACGTCACTGTTGTCGCGACACTGCTGGTTCGACGCCTCACCTTCGCTGTTTTGGGACGTACCACTCGTGCCACCACTTATGTTCCACGTGACGTCGACGCACCAGTTAAAAAGACACCAGCTCCAGACCTACGCCTTTTGTGGGCACGGCAGACCATCGACGAACATGTGGCTCAAACCGTTTTGCTACCTCGTACAGGTTAGTAACTGCCATAGCATGATTAGGAGTGATTTTCGCGGTCTTTTGGTCTTGCCGTGCCCCCGACGCTGTGCTTGTATTGCTTATGATGTATACTGTGTATGTTTGTTGCTGTTGCGTGGTGACGTCGAGTCAAATCCCGGCCCCACTAACAGTGGTGGTGATTCTGTCGAGTCGACGTTGAGGGAGCTGCTGTCTGGCCAGAAAAAGTTGACAGCGGATGTTACTGCACTCAGACAACAACAGAATAACGTTGAAAAAGTTATAGCTGATTGGGGAGCCAGATTCGTTGAATTGCAAAGACGAGCCTCACGCGTGGATGACCTTGAACGTACTGTGAAATTGCTAGATTCGAAGTTGATTGATCTCGAGGATAGGAGCAGGCGATCGAATTAGTAGTCTTTGGGATCCCTCAGGATATGGGTGAAACTGAAGCTATTCTTAAAAGTAAGGTACTTGAAGAAGTTTTCTCCAAGAAGCTTTCGGTTAATTGTAAATCTGTCGGCCGAATTCATCGCCTCGGTAACGCGGGTAGTGGAAGACCAGTCATCATTTACTTCCAGGATGTCACTGAAAAGCAGCATATCTTAAAAAATGCTCATAAACTAAAGGGTACTCGAATATCAGTTCAGAACGATTATTCGCGCAATACGCTAAGGAAATGTAAACTGCTGTGGGATAGCGCTAGAGCTGATAGAGAGCAACGCAAGAAAGTTAGCCTACGTAACGATAAGCTGCGCGTTAACAATAAACTTTTCACATGAGATGAAAGCAACAACTTGAGGGTCGAAATCGACGGTCGTCAAAACAGTACCAGAAATACTTGACTTTCCTCCGTGGAGGCCTCCTCTGAATTTAAAGAACTTTCAGTTTTAAACAATATTCACACTAATGCCAGCAGTGTCATTAATAAATCGGAAAGCCTCGAGGCTACTATTTTAAGTTACAACCCTCATGTAGTTGTCATAACGGAATTTTGGCTGCATGATAATATTGAAGATGCAGTTGTGTTTTTTCCGTCGTACAGGGCGTATCGCCGTGACAGAAGTACTAGGGGGGGCGGGGGGGCTGTTTTGTTAAAAAACACTATAGCCACTACCCCATTACGACAGGCTGATAACTTAGAAACCGTGTCACTAAAGTTTTCTTGCTGGGATAAATCATTCTTACTTTTTGCAGCTTATCGAGCACCTGACTCTCCCTCCGAATTCTTTCATGATCTTTTTACGCACATGGCGTCTTTCGCAAACGATAAGGTTCTTCTTATGGGTGATTTTAATCTGCCAGATGTCGATTGGGAAAACGGATTTTTTTGTACCGCGAATATTTCACATTTACAACATTTGTATGACCTCATCCTATATCACAATCTGGATCAGATAGTTAAACAGCCAACGCGCACCTGTGGTATGTCAGCATCCATACTGGACCTTGTGTTTATTAGTCGTTCATTAGAAAACTATTCTATATCGGTTGATTCCCGGAATTTCCAATCACAACCTAGTATACTGTTCTTTTTCTTTGAAGGTACCTAACACCAGCAAATGTAAAACGATAATGGTTAAAGATTTCTCTCGTGCCAGAGATGAAAGTGTCTTGAATTATTTGGAACTATGCCTTGATAATTTTAAAGCAACAATACTGCTGTACTTTGGGATGAGTTGGAACAAATTATTGCTTACTGTCTTAGCAACTTTATTTCCAACAAAACTAAAAAAGCATCGAAAACTACTCCTTGGATAACGAGAGAAATCTTGAACCTCAAAAGGAAAGTAAAGCGCCTAAGGCGACGGCGGGCCTCCCGTGTGATTATTCACCAAATGCAAGATAAATTAAACCTTGAAGTACAGCTAGCTAAGCGCTGGTATTTCCAGCACACGTTGCCAAACTTCATTCGCACGGCACCCCAAAAATTTTGGTCTTTTATAAGCAGGAAAACAAACTCAATTGACCAATTCGTTCACAAAGGCGTCGTCGTCGTCGATAAGCAATCGCAGAGCGCTTTAATCATTATTTTCAAACTGTATTTTCTAGTTCTAATACCATTGTAAACCCAAATCGCTTGCCATGTGACTCGAACACTGATATTGTATCACAACCAGGTGTGGTGTCTATGTTACTGAACCTTAAAATTAAATCATCTCCAGGACCAGACAACATACCGAATGCCCTTTTGCGCAGATATGCTGAAGCGTTA